CCTCACTGCAGAACATGAAATCCACGGGGAGGAGTCGGATCCAGATCCAACTCCTCCCACCTTACATATACCAAACCTACCCATCTCCGCCCCCTGATCCCTAAACCCACCCCTAATCCTACCCATCTCCACCCCTTGGATCTTGATCCGACTCCTCCCCGTGGATCTCATGTACTGCATTGAGGTGCTACTGGGAAAATCTATAAAGTTAACTATATTCTTCTTCTTATTATTATTTAAAAATAATTATTTAATTACTCTCCCAAGTTAAACGTGAGAACTATGTTTTTAAATAAACATGTAAAAGGCCTATAATGCAAACATGACATTAAAAATCCTATAAATAATCGCCGTAGGCAAATGGCAAGGTGCTCGGCTGGGGAATTGCCAGACGAAACGATGTGTTCTGCATCGTTATCCTAGGTGCCAGTATGGTCAGCAGCTTATCAAACTCGGTCTTGTTCAGTCTGAAATAACGCTGAAACAAGACATCGTCAAAACGAAGCTCCTGTACCAAACGGTAGTACTCACTGTGTGATCTGCGGTACTGGCGTATAGGGTGTACCCAAAACCTATGGCGCCGTCTCCTTTGCATGTAAAGTAGGGTGATAATGACAATCTTCGTTCGATAGTCCATGATGACAACTGGCAAACATTGCTGGATACCATTTTATAACCCAGCATTACCTAATTCCAGAATAAAAGCATATTTTACATGCCGATTATTTGTCAGTAGTGCTTTATTTTATTTATTTGATGTTATTAAATTATTTGGCATTCAATCATTTGTTCAGATTGTAGTTTAGCTCTAGTCAATACATTCGCAAGTTTTTTCTTATTTTTTTTTTTATCTACGAAATTTGCAAATATCAAATAAGCTGGAAAATGTGTCAGTTGAATGTTTATTTAAACAATCATAAATTATACCCTAAATTTTTTTTTTATTTAGTTACTCATGTGTTTTATTTAGGTCTGTCTTGAACATTTGCTGATGAATTGTTTCATCAGTTTGAACTTTAGATGATAGATGGCGCTAATAAAGTACTTGGTTTGCGAACCACCATTAAAAGAAGAGGAAACGCAAAAGGTGGAGACATTCGTTTCGGAGGCGTGCTCCACGGTAAATTTACTCACACGCCCCAAAGCGGAGGCATAATAGCGTTGCCAACGGCACTGAGTGGAGTTTTGCCGCTGTAGTGGACACGCACCGTTATGGTGCGTTCACACCAGACGTGAATATAGCGTCTGGCGCGAGTGAATTCAATGTTAAGTCAATGCAAAGTGTTGAGCGTTGGCGCGAATGAGGTGTAGAGTGCAGCGCGGTGGAGGCTGGCTCCATTTATCATCAAAACAAAAATAAATGACATATTAGGTGGGTGAGGGCGAGGGTGATCCTCGCTCCGATGCGGGACAACAGGACATCAAACTGGGCGCGGGACAGGCGGAAGTACCGCTGAAAGCGCCCGTCATCCAGGCGCAGCCCCTGGAGCGAGCAAATGGTTAAACTCTCCAAACTGGGTTCGCCTCCGAAGGGTCTGGTGGACACAAATACGGCGACGATGACCCCTACGCCGTCGTTCTGCTCTCCAGATGAAATACAGAGTGGTGACTCTCTCGATGAATGCTCGATCAACATAAAAAAGATGGCCGCCAACGGGTTTCGATTCCGACGTGCGTAAATTTCGCTTCAAACATTTGTTTTTTACACGCGTCAATTTCGCTCTTGAAGCACGAATGGATTCAAAGTGTTCAAGCGTATAACTAGACACGGTAGGCGCGTATTTGACGCGGTATTCGCGTGTGGTGTGAACGCACAGTAAGACTATGCTGTTTTAGGCAATGCAATGTTTTTTACAGAGTGCTCTTTAATGCACACCTAGCTGTGAGTTTGAGAGCGCACAACAATATTCAGTTAACAGACTAGAGTGAGAATGTTGAAAATGTCTGTTCACTTTCCTAGTCTGCAGATGTATGCAAAGCTTCTTTAGTTTGGGCTGAGATGTCATATATTAACAGTAGCACCATCTTTGAGGCTTTGAGGGATAGACATGCATCTCTTCAGTGGGTTGTAGTGTTATTTCATGTTTTTTTGGACTTTTCTGCTGGTAAAACAATGCAAAAAAGTCTTTCCAAGAAATTTAAGTAGACAAAAACTCCAGACAACATGAGCTGTGGAAAATTCTAAGTGATCTAGGCACTTTATCCAGTGTTTTACAACAGATGCCATTGAAAATAAGTCTATACCTCACAGCCTCGCTTTCTGTCATGGCGCTGCTTTGAATAATGTCTATTACCCAACAAAACTAAAAAGATAACGTTTATTTTGTCATGCTAATAATGAAAGAGTCTGATAACTGCCCTAAAAATTTTGGGCCCCACTATTATTTTCATTGGGACAATCTCACCATTCAAAGAAAATAGTTGAAGAGCCCTGTAATAGACATAACATAGACATTGGAATATACACTCACCGGCCACTTTATTAGGTACCCCATGCTAGTAACGGGTTGGACCCCCTTTTGGCTTCAGAACTGCCTCAATTCTTCGTGGCATAGATTCAACAAGGTGCTGGAAGCATTCCTCAGGGAGTTTGGTCCATATTGACATGATGGCATCACACAGTTGCCGCAGATTTGTCGGCTGCACATCCATGATGCGAATCTCCCGTTCCACCACATCCCAAAGATGCTCTATTGGGTTGAGATCTGGTGACTGTGGAGGCCATTTTAGTACAGTGAACTCATTGTCATGTTCAAGAAACCAATTTGAAATGATTAGAGCTTTGTGACATGGTGGAAGTAGCCATCAGAGGATGGGTACATGGTGGCCATAAAGGGATGGACATGGTCAGAAACAATGCTCAGGTAGGCCGTGGCATTTAAACGATGCCCAATTGGCACTAAGGGGCCTAAAGTGTGCCAGGAAAACATCCCCCACACCATTACACCACCACCACCAGCCTGCACAGTGGTAACAAGGCATGATGGTTCCATGTTCTCATTCTGTTTACGCCAAATTCTGACTCTAACATCTGAATGTCTCAACAGAAATCGAGACTCATCAGACCAGGCAACATTTTTCCAGTCTTCAACTGTTCAATTTTGGTGAGCTCTTGCAAATTGTAGCCTCTTTTTCCTATTTGTAGTGGAGATGAGTGGTACCCGGTGGAGTCTTCTGCTGTTGTAGCCCATCCGCCTCAAGGTTGTGCGTGTTGTGGCTTCACAAATGCTTTGCTGCATACCTCGGTTGTAACGAGTGGTTATTTCAGTCACTGTTGCCCTTCTATCAGCTCGAACCAGTCTGGCCATTCTCCTCTGACCTCTGGCATCAACAAGGCATTTCCGCCCACAGAACTGCCGCTCACTGGATGTTTTTTCTTTTTCGGACCATTCTCTGTAAACCCTAGAGATGGTTGTGCGTGAAAATTCCAGTAGATTAGCAGTTTCTGAAATACTCAGACCAGCCCTTCTGGCACCAACAATCATGCCACGTTCAAAGTCACTCAAATCAACTTTCTTCCCCATACTGATGCTCGGTTTGAACTGCAGGAGATTGTCTTGACCATGTCTACATGCCTAAATGCACTGAGTTGCCGCCATGTGATTGGCTGCTTAGAAATTAAGTGTTAACGAGCAGTTGGACAGCTGTACCTAATAAAGTGGCCGGTGAGTGTATATATATGTATATATATATATATATTTTTTTTAAATTTTATTTATTATTATTTCCATTCGTCGTTCCAAAACTGTAGTTATTTGTATTTTGTCTACATTATCTTTGCAGAGACCGCCAAACACCTAGATGAGGAAGTGGTGGAAAGAGGTTAAGCCAATAATTATTCTTAGAAAGTATTAGAGATTTCTTAGTGCAATAGAGGAGAAATTGTTTCGCTTGGATTTAAGGACATAAATATTGTAACAGACTCAGGTCATACTTCGTTGGATTTCATTTACCATCAAACCTCCACATCATTTGACTCCTTAAAGACAGTTAAGACTTGCATCTGACTTTCACACTTACACCTTAACTTTCTACAATGGTGAACGTTATAAAGACTGAAAGTATTGCTGGAACTTCAACTCATATACAGAACCATATCCATTTTTGTGTGCTGGGTGTTTTTGTATTAACACCGTTTGAATATTGTTTCTTTGTTTTGAGTCTATTTTGGTGTTTATATAAAGTCATATAAGGTGTTTACATTGCTGTTTTTATTTACTCATTGGATTAAAAACATATGTTGATGCTGATGACCCGGCCCCTACAAACAGATTATTAATTAGCATTTACTCAGAGTAGCACGTGTTGGTTATAATATATTAGATTAAAACAGGGGTTGGCAACTTTGGTAATCATTGTGTGATATCAACTCACTTACCTTAACTCCAACACAACAATAAATAAATAATTTAATTAATTGATTATCTATACAAATGTCATGTCTCCAGTATGTAGAGACACATGAAAAAATCGTGTAGTTTTTGTTTGAACTGGGGTTTCATTTGTGGTACCCTTTGAGAACATGTAAAGCGTACTGAAAGTGTCAGACTTTCACCAGGCAAAGAGGTAATGCAACAGGATTAGTGTAGGAGAAAATCAATGTGACATTGCACACCACATTTTACAGACTACTTTCTTTCAGTCACCCAGTTCTTTTACATGCTCACTGATCTCAACCAAAATAAAATAGTCAAAAATCAGATATGTCGTGCACACATTTACGTGACATTTAGAATCTAATTTTGATAATTTGTTGCTTTTGATGGGTTGTATGCAACCAGGATGTTCCCTTTCAGTCGAGAACGTCGGACGTAGTCGATGTTGACTGAATGGGGATCAACCATTGAAAACGCCACTAGTGCTGCCACCTTCCAGTGCCTAGAGAGAAGCCTCCTGATCCCCCCGCGATTTAAGGCGGAGAATGGACAGGGCTTTAGGCCAGGGAAGTCACTGCTGTTCCTATAGGACCACTACTTAAGCTCCTTTAATTTAATATTACAGATATCTGGTCTGTACAAGTGAATTAAAGAGGAGATGCTCACCACCTGAGTGTTACTCCAGCAACACTGTGGTTTCTTATTTGCGAAAAGCAAAGGCACAGAAAAAAACCATAGAGGAAAAGCTGACTGGCATGGGTGTGCAGCCCACCAAGCGGACCAAACTGACTTCACTGTGCACTAAACTGTGTGAAGGTAAAACATTTTAAGTGATTGTTAAGTGTCTTTTTAGGTTGGGTATTATATTTTTTTAATAATGCTATTTGTTTACATCGTTTCATTTCAGATGAATGCAGTGAGCTGGTCAGTGACGTAATGTTCCTGGCAGCAAAGTTTACTCCACAAAGAAAAGTGGTCCAGGAAATGTGTGAAAATGAGGATGTCCAATTAGGATGCAATTTCCAAAACTGAAGCCTGCAGGTAAAGTACATTTTATTATGCTGAATGTTTTTAATGTTTTACTTTAAATTGAAACCAAAAGCTTTATGTACTTCAATTGCAGGAAGACCTTACAAACACTTCTGGTGACTTTAGGGAGAAACTGGGAGACGTTTGAACAGGCAACCCATGGGCTTGGGCCTGGTTTAATGGTGGGCACATTCGAGTTCATTGACTCGTGCCTCAAAGAAAAAATTAAAACACTTAAATCCTCTACGAAAGATGTGAACTAGTTAAGGTACAGCTGTTTAATAATACCTTTCTGTTGTAATGTTGCTGTGTTTTATAGATACCTATAATCCACTTTATTTTTTTAATTGTTTTGTAATTTGTAATCACATTTGTAATTCAATTTTGTTCCTTAATACAAAAGTAAAGTATTCAATATTTTATTGTAATGTTAAAGCAAAAGATCATTCAATAAAAGCATTATTTTGTGAATTATTTACAATCACCATGTGTTCCTTTATTTTGTTCTTATACAAAGCATCTGTACAACACTCATTGACCAAAACTAGGCATGTTGGCTAGGCAGAGCATATAGTCATTGTTTCATCAATGAAACATTTCTTATCTCTCTACAAGATCAACTACGTTTTTTCTTCTTTTTGACCGTGTAAGTGACTGCATCTTTTGCTTTTTTGACCCTTTTACGATAATTATGAAGTGCAGTCACTTTTCTTTTTCTTGATAGTTTGCTAAACTGTGAAAAAAACGAATTTGTGTGCTCTCTGTACTAAACTGTGCACTTCCTTATCCTCGTGAAATTTTTCTGATTGGCTCCACTCATGAAGATCTGTGAGCATGTGTTGCAGTGTTACTTTTTTTTCTCACTGGATTTTGAGCAGTGTGAATCCTCAGATATGTTCTCACAGGATGTTGTGTGGATAATGTTATGAACTAAGATACATACACACACCTCTCCATAGCTATTTGCAATGCATGTGCAAAATTTGGCCCTTTTACGACGTACAATTCCTACACTCTCATCAAAATGATATACAGTGAGGTCTTCATTATCTGCGAAATAGGATTCACTGTCAACAATTTTTCTTGCTGCTTCTGCCCTAAGGTCTTGAATTACAAGTCCTTGTTTCTCTGCAATGGTTTGTGAGAAAATTAAGTGTTTGCACACAGATCCACAGTGGAATATTTTGCAATCGCAATTATGCATCACCAAGTCAACTCTGTGAGATTGTGTGCTTGTATCGGGTGGAACCAAACACACTCCATTTTCATTTATCTCCACTTTTGCATCCAGGCCTTTTGCAATCATGCAATGGGCAGCATTTGTGGTCTCTTCAGTGAGTAGTGGTGTAAACATGGCTTTGGAATGGCAACATTCGACCGAAAATCTTGTTAAAAATGGTGTTTTGACCATTCCGCATCCAAGTAAGGTAACATCATGGGCGGACAACATGTCGATATGGCCCAGCATCACAACATCCAAGATCTTTTCTTATTTTATTGATTCCATGGCGGTGGATGGGAATGCAATTAATAACCTGAAAAGCTCAGAGGCGTTTCAGTACCTCCATTCCGACAAAGTGGGCTGTGTACTTTTACACCATATGGGCAGTTTAATTTACCTAAAGGCCGATGTTCAACCAAGCCAGTCCGTTAACAATTCAGCGCATAACGCCTGGGTTTTGGTTACCAAGATGGGAGATGTGGAGACTGCAGGCTGTACCTGTATCGCCGGACCTGGACGTTCCTGTAGCCATTAGAGGTCTGCACGGGCTTTAAACTGAAGCCCGAACCCAGCCCGTACCCGCGATCATTTAACCCGACCTGACCCGACCCGACAATTACATTTACATATTAAGCCCGAACCCGACCCGAACCCGAGGTCCATTCTGTTTCTCACAGCAAATACGCGCGAGAGCGGTAGCACATGCGCAAAACAGTTTTGTAATATAAATGATATGATAAAATAAAACAAATAATTAAAAAAAAATATATGTTTATATTTATATATATATATATATATTAGTGCTGTCAAACGATTAAAATATTTAATCGCGATTAATCGCATTAATGTCATAGTTAACTCGCGATTAATCGCATTTAATCGCACATTTTTATCTATTCTAAATGTCTCTTGATTTCTTTTTGTCCCATTATTTTTTTCTCATTTTAATGCTCTTATCAACATGGAAAAGTGGATCGGCTTGCTTTGTGCAAATGTTTTTTATTGAAAACAATATTGGCATATACTGTTCAATTTCACACTAAAACATTATCACTTGGAGCAAATAATCTCTCACACAATATAACACTGTCCATCAATAAAAGGGTGAAATAAATACTGACGAGGTCCTGATATTGACGAGGGGGCGGAGAATTCGCATCAGCTGTGTGTGTGTGTGTGTGTGTGTGTGCTGGCCATCATCAAGTAGTATTCAGACTGGACGTGCTGCGATGATGATAGCTCAGTTCACAACGACAAAACACACAGATCACTTTGGTCTTGTCAATGGAACCATTTGGCAACTTTTTAAAAGTAAACTTTCCATTCAGAATCTTATTGGCATCCATTTCGGCGTCTCACGCTCGTCATCCACTCAAAACTGGACGTTTTGAACGTTCCTATAACATTCAGAAATAACGTTTTTATAACTTAATGGGAACGTTATGAAAACATTCTTATAACCTAAAATTGTTAGCTGGGGAAGAGGAGAGATTCGCGATTGCACTGAACACGTTTTAAGTGCAGGCATATTCTCTGAAGGAGCCCAGAGAAAATTCTTACAAGAGCAGCGTGTATCTGAGAGCGCGCGCGACTCGAGCAGAGAGATTCGCGCTCGCGCATCCGGCTCGCAAGCCCAAACAAGTGTGTGCGGCGTGCCTGTTGTTTTGTTTCCGGTCTAGCTAGATCTGCTTGCGCTTTCAAAACGTCCTCGCACGCCGCAAGCCATTGAAATGAATGGGTTTCATAGCCCAGCGGCCCGCATGCCGTCCTGTTGCAAAAGCATGTGAAAAAAAAACTACAAAGTTTGCTAGGCCAAAAAGACCGTTAATCGCGCGATAAAAAAATTAACGCCGTTAAAATGGGTTTGCGTTAACGACGTTAATAACGCGTTTAACTGACAGCCCTAATATATATATATAATTATCATTATCATTATATTTGAGAGAGAGAGCCTGTGTGTCTGACTGTGTGTATGCACATATTGCACATCTGCGCACGTATGTACTTTCTCTCTCTCGCGTGCCGGTCACCACAACACAGCAAGCAGGCAAAGCACACGGCATGCAAACTATATAGCCTATTTAGTTTTTCTTAGTTAAACCCAAACCCGAGGCTGTTCATTAAACATTAACCCGAACCCGACCCGAAACCCGCACATTTTTCGGGACCCGTCGGGCTCGGGTCGGGTAGCAGACCTCTAGTAGCCATGCAGCCTCCGTGCTTTGGAAGGTACGTTAGCCCATCTTATGCTTGTGTTAAGATGTTTGTATGTATCCGTGTGTTAATCTGCGTAATAATGAGTAGACTGTGTTGACTTCCGCGAATGATAAGCCTTCCGTATTTGAGTGCAAATCCCTAGCATTTTACCGCAAAACAGAGAAATGTTACTTCAGCCTATCTAATGATATATAATGCGGTTGGTGTGTGAACCAATCACAGACCAATATAAAACAAACACTAGGAACGATACTTTTAAACAGAACAAATCAAAACAAAAGAAAACGGTGTAATCCGTATGAAATGGGCAAATTTGCAACAAACTCTTTCTGGCTTTTGTTTATTTTATTTATTTTTATCAAACTGATTTATTTTATTTATCTATTTGCTTTTACTCATTTTTTTTATATTACTCACTTATCATTTATCACTTTATTAAATGTTATTTATTTATTTAATATTTAATTATATTTTCTTTTATTCTTTTATTATTCTTTTCATATTTTTCCAGATTTGTTTTATATAAGTCTAAATAAATGCAGGCATTAAGGGGTTAAACATTGATGTTGATGGCTGCAGGCCCAGCTCATTAATTGTTTTGAAAAGTAACAAAAACGATCTACCTTCATCATACCCTTGTTATTTTGATTTACAAAATGTTGTCTCTAAAAGAAGTCAATTGTGCTGTGATGCTCAAACCATTATTTAAAAAGTGTGTGATTTTGTTTCTATCTGTCTGCAGGTAGAAAATGCTGTAAGGCAAGGGAAGACAGGGCTTGCCTGCACTGATGTGCAGAATTGCTGGAAAGCAATACTGGGCAGCAAAAAATCAGAGATGTGTCTTTCCGAAGACACAGCAGAAATAATCTATACCAACCAGCATCACAGGCATCCTCCTCCAGCATAGTCTCTACACCTAGTCGCAAGGTAAAAGTCCATGAGACACTGGAAGAATGGCAAAAAAAATGCGATTCATATTCAAACAGTCTTTTTGTTTACAGACACTATTTCATATCGCGATTAGAACAAAGCACTTGAAAATAAAGAATGTAGCCTACCTATTCCTCAGCTGGATCCGTTGCTCCTCCAAATGAAACTACCTGTACTTCTGAGGTAATTTTTTCCAGGATTATTATTAAGATATTATTATTCCTCACAGCGTCGTAAATCTGAGTCTCTTTCGGTGGGTTATCCAGCTGATGTGGGCGTGGATCGCCTCAGAGCATTTGTGTTTGAATAGAGTGCGCGCTCCGTGGGCGTGGTCAAATTAACTTTAATGACCTGAGACGAGAACGACTATCATCTCTCTCTTTTCGTACAGATTACATAAAATGAGAAAATTTGTTTTTTATATAAATTACTTCATTTAAAAGAAGATAATTCAGGCTTCATGCCTGTGTGCCTGTATACCTGCACTTCTAATCCATTGCTCAAAGCCATAGAGAAGGGGGGTCCCCGAAGCTCAACTTATCTCCGCAAAAAGTATTATCAAGAAAGCTTTAACGTTGTAGAACCCATTGAATATGTTCTTGATGCCAAAGAAAACAGAAGTTATCAGTATGTTCCTGTATTGAAGTCTTTGCAGCAACTCTTTAAGAATGATGTTGTGGACAGGGTAGATGAAAACCACAGAGCACAGCAGAGTAAAAGGGCGAGTGGTGAACACCACAATTACAAATCTCCTCAGGATGGTTCACACTTCCAGCAAAACATTTTTCTGTCAGGGGATGAGATGAGGATATTGTTACGTTTATACATAGATGATTTTGAGGTTTGCAATCCTCTGGGTACTTCTCGCCGGAAACATAAGCTTTGTGGAATCTACTGGACACTGAGTAA